AGACTGAAAATGCAAAAGATAAAGAAGGACATCAGCGTCTCTGGCAGGAAGGGACGATTACAGTTCCAGTTGTCGCCCATACGTGCTTTGTCTGGAAGCAAAGTGCTGAGTTGGATTGCTGACTGGGATCATTTGTTGATCTGGACAAGTTTGCACACTTGGCTTCTTAAGATCATTGATAATGGTGATCCCTTAACAATTCAATGTTCTTTACATTCCCCCTCAAACTTGTTAAGGGAAGCGGCCACCGAACCAGGCCAAGTTTCTCTCTAAAATACTTAACTTATGCTTGTGACAGTGCCTTGGTGAAACAGTCAGTAGTCTGATCGCATGAAGGCACATATCTAATGTCGAGAACTCCTCTTGTCACTATGTCACGAATGAAGTGGACATCTACTTCGATATATTTGGTTTGTGAATGAAAAATCAGATTGCTTGCAAGGGCTGTAACGCTCATATTGTCACACCAAGCTATGGAGGCTTGTGGGATGACAATATTTATTTTTTTGAGCAAGGACTCTAACTAAGAAATTTCACAGGATAGGTGAGCCAAAGCCCTGTATTCGGATTCGACACTTGATCTTGAGATAACGTTTTATTTTTTTGAGCTCCAAGATATTAAATTTTTTTCGAGATAGACACAGTAACCAGAGGTTGAGCGACAATCATCTTTTGAGCAAGGCAGTCTGCATCAAAGTACCTGACGATGCTTAATCTGCTACTGGGTTTGATATGAAATTTGATATTAGTCGTTCCTTTTAGATACTTAAGCACTCTCTTCAAAGCTTTCATGTGATGGTCGGTTTGGTTTTTGCATAAGCTGACTGAGCTTATTGACAGTAAACGATATATCTGGCCTTGTTTGAGTTAAGTATTTGAGAGAACCAATTATTTTCCTGTAAAGGGTCGGATCAGGCAACTTTTCTCCCTCTTCTGCTGATAAATTACTTCCAACCATTGCTGGGGGGTAGGACATAGTTTTGAAGAGTACATATTCTTTCGTTTGAGGAGTTTTTCAGTATATTTTATTTGGGTGAGGAAGAGTCCAGTTTCATTACGCATTACTTCAATGCCGAGGACTAAATGAATATCACTAAGGTCCTTCAGTGTGAATAAGATGTGAAACTGACTGATAAAACATTTTTTCAGGCTTGTTCCCTGTAACAATTTTATCGTCAATTTAGATTAATATGAAGATTTTAGTGGCTTCAGTAACAAAAAAGAAGGGAGATGTATCTGCTTGTGAATTTTTGAATCCCCATTTGAGTAAGGTGAATTTGGCCTTGTCAAACCAAACTCTTGGAGTTTGCTTGAGTCCATAAAGTGCTTTGTTGAGTTGGCAGACATGATTAGGATGTGCAAAGTCTTCAAATCCTTCAAATTGCTTTATAGACATTGTCTCTTTCAGTTCCCCATTTAGGAAGGCATTGTTCACATATAATTGTTTGATGTGCCATCCATTTGTGACTGCCACAATTAGCATAACTCGGAGAGTTGACGCCTTAATCACTAGCCTGAAGGTCTGGTGAAAAGCAATTCCAGGTGTTTGATGAAACCCTTTGGCGACTAATCTGGCTTTACACCATTGAAAGCTGTCATCTATATTTATCTTGATTCTGTAGACTCATTTGTTCCCAACAAGATTCATTTTAGGATGATAAGGAACCAATTTCCAAGTTTGATTGTTGCTAAGGGCAATCATTTCTTTTTCCATTGCTGATTTTCAGTGATGATTGTTGATTGCTTTTGTAACCGAAGTGGGTATGGTGAGGTTATTTTCCTTTATTGCTCTGAATAACTGAAAATCTTATGACAAATTTCTTAATCTAAAAATTCTGGCTTGAGCTCTAGTCATCATCTGGTGCCTATGAGCTTCAGTTAAAGTGCCATCTATTAACAGTTCTTCCTCTTCTATTTGTTGTTGCGATACCATGTTTTGATCAAGGAAATTCTGGTTCACGTTAAGAGATGTTATTGTCATTCGTGTTGTTAGCAGGAAAGTCTCTAAAGTAGTAATGAAGTGAGGTCTCCACCGCAGGAAAAGATGCTGGTGCTGCGGCTTCAGAGATGTCTCCGCTATTTCAGCACCCAGAAGAAGGTGAAACTAGTGGGAGGTAAGAGGACACATTGAACCATAATGGTAGTATGATTCTAGAGGGTACTTCAGGATTATGTATGTTTGTGAAGCCATGGTGAAAAGGAAATTCTAATTCATTGAAAATAATATTTCTTGACACAGATTTTGCCAGTGGAACTAAGACATTTATATCCTTTGTGCAGTGAGCTATAGCCAAGAAAGACACACTTTGTTGAGTGGAAAGAGAGCTTGTGATTCTAGTATGGTCTCAAGTAAGGAAAGCAGGCACAACCGAAGGTCTTTAGCTGTTTGTAGTTGGGTTCCTTGTGATACAGTTTTTTAAGATGTGAGGTATGATTTAAAGTGGATGTAGGCATTCTGTTTATGAGGAACACAACTATTTCAAAAGTATCAAACCAATATTGTAGAGGAACTCCCGATTCAACAAGGAGTTTGAGAGCTGTTTCGGTTATGTGTCAGTATTTCTTTTTAGCTCGTCCATTTTGAGTAAAAAAAAAAGGGCAAGAATATCTGATTTTTATTCCATTGTTTTGAAGAGTTTGAGTTAATGTAGTGAATTTCCTCCCATATCTGACTAGAGCCATTTTATTTTTTTTTTTAAATTGGGTTTCTATTTGTTGTTTGAAAAGGGTAAAGACTTGATGAACGTTCGATTTTTGTTTGAGTTGATAGAGATAGGTAAAGTGATTGTAGTCATCTATAAAGGTTACACAGTACTTATGGCCCCAAGGTGCAATGAGAGGGGAAGGTCCCCAAATGTCGATATGGATAATTTTAAAAGAGATGTTGGC